TTAATTAAGCTCTTCTAAATCACGCTAACAATAACAGGAAAAAATACACACCTCGGCTATGAATCTCTCTATCAAATCTCATGTCAGTTAAATTTACAGACAGAGACCAGGAAATAAATTTACACCGACATTAGCATAATGGACTGTTGTAATTTGAACTGATGTTGTATGTTTTATTGCAAATAATATTTTACTTATGTTGGAACACCTTCGAGAATGTATAATTTTGAGGTACAATGAGATCGGTGAATTCTTTGTAACAATGTGTGGTGTTTAATGACCGTTAGTTAATGATTATTCGGAGATCGTGAGATGCGGTCTGACGTGACGTAAGTTTTAGTGTAACACGACACGCAAGAATGACACAATTACGCAGAAAACACTTTGAGGCCTGAAGATGATCTCAATAAAGATCGAAACGTCGGCACGATAAAGAAAATGTTTTTCTAAAACCTGCGTCACACCAGACCGCATCTCACGATCTTCGAATAATCTCTGTAACAATTTTTAAACAGACATATTAAGATTAAATAGGAATAAATTAAATTCATTTAAGAACTTATCATTTACTAAATTACTCTTTTGAGGGAAGAAACGTTATTATGTCTCCGGCATAGTTTCCTTATCTATTACGAGTTACAACATCTCTAAACGAGTATTCATTTTCTCTTGTGTTTTAGTTCTTTAGTTTGGTGGTGAAAATTGACGAGCTCAGAAAGTCAGTTATGCATTCGAGAAGAGGGAAAATACTTTGAGCATTTCCTCTGAAAAGTTCCTCCTTTGTTTTTAGGTGCTTGCTACGAGAAGAACCATGGCATTTTATTGTATGAAGCTTTCTGGTAGGTTTTTGTGAGATTACGATGTGTCATTTTTATTTTACAAAGCGAGTTCTAATTGATTTATTTCTACCCCACCTTCAAATTTACCTTAGCTCACGTTTTCGAACATTCAATTGTTATTTATCAACTCTACTAGAACGTTATTTAAAAACCTGGATATATCAACGTAAAGCATATTAGATGAAGAAGTTTTTGTAAAATTTGACAAGTTTTTTTTTGTAACCTCAGTACAACGTGCAATCATGACCAAAATTTTAATTTTTGTAATTTTGACATGTTCCAAATTATATTGGCTAACATTTTATGTCATTCAGATTATTGCAAAGAAGTATCTTACAGCAAATTTAGCGTTCTTTCAAATGGTGTAGTTGGATTTGTTGTAATCTCAACATTTTGGAAGTTGTAAGCGTTTTTATGTGGTAAGGAAGTAAAACGTTGAAAAAACCTAAATTGACGAATATCTTCAAAATAGAGAACTTTCCGAAAATTTTCTCCTGAGCATTTTTTGCTCCAAACGAAGAGTAGAATCGATTCCCTGAGTTTCGTCAGAAGGAACTGGGACAACCAGTATACATTCTTTACTGGACTCTGGAAAACTCTGGAAAACCTAGGAGTAAGCTGTCTCTTCTGGAGTGGATCGATTATTTTCTGTCGGGAGATCCTTTATGGTTAAGATTCGGGGAAGGATTATCCTCAGGGCTCACATTCGGGGCCAGAGTTGTTTATGATATTTTTAAATTTTTATTTATTTATTTTTAATTTAAATTTTATTTTTTCCCAGTCATTCCTTACTTCCTCATTCGAGCAATGTACTTTACTGCAGGAGGATCTGGACGCATTTTGGGCTTGGTGCGACCGTGATAATCTTAAATTAAATGAAAATAAGCACAGATAAAGTCACACGATTTTACAAGAAAAAAAGTCGCGAATGAAATTGATTTGGTTGTTTATAAATTCAATGGTTATCCCATTGACGACGTCGGTCCCATCTCAGACCTTGGAGTTATTTTTAATAAGAATTGTGATTTTCGTGACCACCTTGAAGCTGTTCAAAACAGCATTTAAAAACTTGGGCTTCAATAAAAGGCAGACGGTATATTTTAAAAATCTATTAGTCATAAAAATCCTTTACCAATCACATGTTCGTTGCTATTTTGAGTATGCAAGTATTATTTGGTCGACCGGATCAGACAGCGGATCGTCCATGATTGAGCAAGGAAGGCATCTAAATTTGCTGTATAAAATGTGTATAGATGATAATAGTGAGCTTCCTTGTACAGAAAGACTGAATTTGGTCGGACTTTTTGAACATGGAAGAATTTTGGCTTCGGCCTTGTTCTTATGGAAGATACTTAACAGTAGGATTGATTCCCCGATCTTTTCCTGCATTAGTATTAGCCATTTCTGTGAGCTATTCTATTTTTACCAACATAGGACGAATTATGGGTCGGAATCTGTCTTTTTCGGATAGTCCGTCACATTAACCGATATGAATATGTCGCGGACCCTTTCCCCGTACCCTCTGACTCCTTCCCAGTTTTCAAAAAGACGATTGTATTAGGATTAAAAGAGTGAATCATTGAGCCCTGTTTATTTATTTTTATTTTTTATATTTTATTTAATTATTTATTTTGTGTATTACAAGTTTTTTGTTATCTATTGCAGTTAGTATCTAGCTATAATCTATTCTTCTTAACTTTTCTCAATTTTTATATTCTGAATTTTTATATGTGTTTTTTTTACTCTTGACTGTTCAATTTTGTGTCATTTCACACTTTTGAACTGCAATAAAATAAATAAATAAATAGTACCACTTCTCTTTTTCTTTCCAAACGGAAAAAGTCTTCAACATTTACAATCAATCAATATTTTGTATTTGAGGTTTTTAGTTGAGATAAAAAAGTCAGCGTCACGAGCGGGATTCGAACCCACGACCTTCGGCTAGATACGCCGCTGCTCTATCACTTGAGCTATCGTGACTTCGATCCACTCGGACACTAACGTCTCATCTCAACCCACCTTTTGAATTTTCTCTCAATTTTTGCCATTTTTCAAATGTCGTGTAATCTATTTGATTCTCGGCGACAAATGAAACGGCCACGGAGAGCTTTAGTGAAGATATACTTCATTTTAACTGATTGAATTCACTAGTTTTCGTGGTCCGCTTGACCGATTAATATCTTTCAATTAATTGAGGTTTTTATCTCAACTAGACACCTCAATTAATTGAAAGATATTAAACTAAATGAACTATGATGAGGACATCTAAGGACCAATACTAGCAAGCGATTCCCCAAATTGCGCGACAAATTCCAGTAAGGGCAGAGTAAAATACCATAAATTTATTACCACTTTAGGTCAATTCAAAGTTAAGTTAAGGTTAATTCATACAAAATTAATGCCAAAATAGAAGAAATTGCAGAAGAGGACCGATCTGTCGAGTGGTTAGATGGCCTTCGACTCGTAATTGCCACGCTAGTGATTCTGGGTTCGAATCCTGACATAGTACAAAGAAATTTACTTGAGAATAATAATAAAAAGTGTTCGAAAGTGGTTCACCCCTCGCCTCGACATCCAACGGATAGTCAAACTTTAAACCTACCTTCATGATCGGCTTTACTGTAGTAGAAGAAAATACTGAAAATTGACAGTTGATTATTGTAAATGTTAACGATACAACTGTACGGTGTGACAAGTCCGACAAATTTAGGCTAAATGATTGTAAACATTGACCGTATTAATCGGTCAAGCGGACCACGAAAACTAGTGAATTATTTTGTACGTTAAAAAAAAAGGAATCAACGACACCGAATTTAATAAATGCTGTATGGTGCAACGGTGGAATATCTTTCTAAATTACTAATCAGGGAGAATGTAGTGTAGTGTGCCTTGTATGTAGAGAATAAGTTTGCATCTAGACACTCTCTCATCTCGCAAACACACAACTATGACTTCTTCGTTGAATGCTTGATCTATCCAAATTAAGTTTTGGGTGTAGTCGTATTAAGTAAATACGTGATTTTGTTATAGAAATTCGTATTTGTCAATTATTGAGTGCCACTTTGGTTTTCCTTTATTAGGGGCCAAATTTGCTACGATTATCGAAGTGTTCAGCGAACGATTTCCGATTCAATTATCAACTGTGCTTAACGGATCGCTTTCTTATGCGTCTACTTTTTCAAAGTGGAATTATTCATTGACTCTTTGGATTATTGGCCCAAATACCAGAATAATATTGTATATTCTCCGAGGGCTAAACATCCGGGCAAATTTCAAAAGTGGGCGTTGGGCAAAGAGCGAGATAACCCGGCCCCAAACTATCCGCTTAATTGAATCACGGTTACCAATTCAATTTACTGCAGATGGGTGTAATTGCTTGTGATTCGGCGTCGGATCGGATTTTATCCGATGGGCATCAATCCGGACAGGACACGACTTCTCTCTTCACTTCTAACACAGCCTCAAATTTGTAATTACTTCCATTTTGTTCCTGGTGCGTATGAATTGGTGAAAATAAAAAATGTAATGATTGTGGGAAGAGGCGGGCTTCCATTTTTCTCCTCATTACGACTTTAAAGGTAAAAGGACTAAAATCCATGCCTTACATTATATTTGTCGATTGTTTATTTTTCTTCTGATTCCCCACAGCAAAAACCTTCTAAAATATTTTGCCTTAATCATAATACATTATAAAATTTATTGTGAAATTCTTTTACAATGATCCGAACGCCTGCGAGGCTGATTACTGACATCCATTCGTCTGTCGCCAGGCATTAATCCAGTAAAAAGATTTAAGTCGTAATCTATCTAATTTAAAGTGGCTACCAGCACGAAAAAGTTCTAAGTTTTAGAGAACTAAGGGTGGTTCTATATATTATGCTTTCAAGAGGAATATCACGGGTCACAAAATTGATTTTATTAATGATTCTGTTACCGTTATGACTTTTGTACATACACTCCTCAGCCAATTGTACGTACTTCGGGTTTATCAAACCCTTCTTCCTGGGATGTAGATTTCTTTAATTTAAATAATCTTAACTCAGAAATAAGAGTTTCATAGGGATATGGTCAGAAAGTAAACATTTAACAATACCACTCTGTTCACGAAGATCACAAATCTATTAAAAACAAGAAAAAATTATAAATTGAAACACAACTTACGTCTCTTCCAAGTCCTAGTTCTTCGGTGCAGCCCGCTGCAACCTGAAACGAAACAACCTCAATTAAAGAAATTGAAATAAGCATAACTAAAGAAGCAAATGATAATATATTCCATACCCAATTACATTAATTGTAGTTATGAAAAATAGTTCTTAACCCGAGTGGACAGCCAGTTATGAAATATTGTCAAAGCAGCATCTCTTAATATTTGTTTAGTGGTTGTCCACGGCAATAAAATATGCTCGGTTTCATCCCAGCATGTGGCAGGGTTCGACTTTGTGTGGCCTCATTAGTCCTGACAATAGCTCCTGAATCAATCAGCAGGGAGATAAACGATCCTGCGGTGGCAGAGAATTCATATTTTTTACAATGTTGTATTAGAGTAACGATGGCCAAGCTGGGATCGCATTTATTTCTTCTTTAGAAGAGGAGAGACAGTTGTTATTAATTTTTGCTTTTTGATTTTCTTAATAGTCAAGAAACAGACGTTAACGATTCAGGCCTGATAGACCAATGCTGTTATCACCAAAAAAAGATTTAATCATTTTAAGCAGATGTCAAGCCGAAGCGGCACTACCCGCCGTATTGATGAGAATAAAATGTTTAAACATTACATGTTGTATGTACTTAGTCAACATTACTCAAGAATAAACTTAACTTGGTATTTTTGTGTGTTTTCATTTAAAATGTGTTAAATGTGTGGTGATTAGTGACCGTTAATCGATAATTATTCAGAAATCGTGCGATGCGGTCTGGTGTGATGTAGGTTTCAGAAAAACATTTTCTTTATCGTGCCAACGTTTCGATCTTTATTGAGATCATCTTCAGTGCTCAAAGTGTTTGTCTTCTGTGTAATTGTGCCATTCTTGCGTGTCGTGTTGAGTGCCCTGATATTTGGATTCAATCGTGCCCAATGAAAAATGTACGATATAATAAAATATTTTTAACTTTTTAAATATACTATTCGTTTCGTCATCTTCGCTAATATCAAGCAAAAATGTTTCTGTGCTAAATTATGATAAGTCCCGACACTGCAAATTCGTTTCAACTTTTTGATTCCGATTTGCAAAATTTTATTTAATCTATATTCAAGATGAAAAAACTCAATTCTTGGCTTTTAACACATTGGATTCCTGCTAACACGCTTAGCTATTTGTTCTTCCACCTAACCCGTCTTGAACCAAGGTGTAAACATAGCGGTTCGTCACTGGAATGCTGAAACCGGTCTAATTGTAAGTTTTTAATCGTTCGAGACAACATACAGCCTAAACAACACGGATTTCTATTTCGTAATCCAACGTGGGGTCGGTTTGTCATGTTTTTCTCACTTTATTACATTAGTAGACATTCACCACCTAAATAAGCCATCAAAAAGAAAAGAAATAAAAAGCCATGCCTTCTTTAGTGTGGCGTTATAACTCATTTTCTTAAAACTCTCGAGGCCCTTCTTCCTGCTTCCATCCCTTTCCCTCTAAGCGCTGATAAGATATCCTCGGCTTTAGTACTCGGTACTGACCATACCGAGGTCGCATGTGCCCCTCATTCTTTCCTGCTCTGAGTGTTTACATGTAAATAGGCCGCCACTTTGAACATCCACCTAAACAATATAAAACTGTACCTTTAGTTAAAATTCCGTCAATCCTTCATATTACAAAAAAGTGTAGCATCGGCTGAATGTTCTCTCCTTCAATTGAGTTAAGAAATCCAAGAGGAATTATAGTTTTTCAATAATTTATTATGTTAAATGTAGGGAAGATTGAAATCTGCATTCGTTTTCTCTCTTATAGCTATACTTGTACAAACTGAGAAAGTGGGAGGCGATTACACTATACAAGTTGTCTGCTAATTGAGGATCTAGAAAATGTTAAGCAATCGAGATGGACATAAATACCGGTGATGATATCGATTTAATCTCCCTTACCATGTTAAATGCCCACACGCTTGATAATCACATGGAAGAAATTTGTATTACCAAAAGAATACTGTTCGTCATTTTCTTTTTGAAACGTGATAGAACCTAAACTTTTTTTTACCGATTCTGTTAATCGGCGTCGATAATGTTTGGCTAATTGTCACAGAATATAGAGCCCTTCCACCCCATGTGGAAATGGTTAGAAACTCCGGACATCTGTGAAAATGTTTATCGTCTTTGCCCAAGTGACATTTGAGTGACATAAAGCCATATGTGAAAGGACCGGGGTGCTCTAAGTTAACAAGGATATCACAGTCAATTTTCAAGCCCATCGCCCATAATTAGTTGGTGAAGTTTTTGTAGTCGGCATGTATTACAAGGATATTAGGCTAGGCAACACCATACGTCAAACGGGGCGATAAACTCCGACAAAAGACGTTAAAGATGGAAAAACATTCTGGCTAATATAAATGGGCCAAATGCTTCGTCCCCCTCAACAGGAACCGGATCCTTCCTATCAAAACAATAGAGATTTTTTCTTCTTCTTATTTTTTTTTATTTACGTTACAACTTCAGAAAAGAAGCAGCAAGCACAAATTATATTTTTAAGAACATATAAAGTACAGTAGCTCAAAATACCAAGTTGCTGAAGGCATATGGACGATCTGATTTTAACTCATGTTGGATCATAACACTAATGCCAATGTTGGCGACAAGGTATTTATATTAAATACGGTCGGGCAGCTAAGTTTACCAATTTAGTTACATCGGTGAATTGGTTTTGCAGTTAATAGTCTTGACTGATCACTCTTGGATCTGTCAATGAATGGGACTTCTTCTATCGCTTAAACAATATCTAAATTGTTGAAAATGGATGATCGGTGTTAATCTAGGATTTTGGTCACGTGGCTATAAAACTGTCTTTATGCACGTACAATTACCATCGTCTTTATGTCACTTTAAGATTTGATCAATCTTTGCCGATTATTCCAGCAATTTTAACCCAAGATTAATAACAATTTCTACATTGTAACTAAAATCACAAGTTCACGAAGAGCCTTGAGTGTACACGGTGTTCTATCTTTGCATACTCGAATCTTTTGCCTTTCGGGACCGGCGACAATTTAAAATCGGGTATGGACGTTTCACTATTAACAGGGTTCGAAATTAGCCTTTGGAAAAATACGTTTCTGCTCGAATTAGGTTTTGTCAACAGCTACTGCAACCATGCTGGGTTTCAAAGCATTCTGGAAGACAAAAATGATTTCATCTCAATGTTTAATTATGCAAAACACAAATTCTAAATATTGAAAATAAAAAGTGCTAATTTTAAACAAATATATTAGACAATTATGGATATAAATATTGGATTATTAATAAATAATTGTATCATACATTGCACAAATGTATTTTGCTATTTTCTCGTTGTATTTTGTTAATTTATGTCTTACCACCTATTTCTTCTAGCTCTTATGTCTTAATTATGTACATTAATTTTGATACATTGTAAAACAAAAATTATCATGTATTTTGGAAAAGGCGTAAAATTTAGTACATAAACAAATGTAGTATTGTAAGAAAAAGTGGTAGAATGAAATTTCTGAAAATGAAATATTTGGAAAAATGTCTTTCCTTTATAAATTCTTAAGTGATTTTGGTAGGGTTAGTGACGTGCGATACTAAAGAATATTCGATTCAAGTACTCGATACTAGTATCAAAAGAAGTATTCAATCCTGCTCAAGTATCGACAGAAAATATTCGATACTGATGAATATCTATTAATTAAAATTAGCAATTGGCATTTGAACATTTGGAGCGTAAAGAGTGGTTGTGCCTTATTTATTTATGTAATTATACTGAGATCTTATCTGACGGATCGATTTTTTCGAGTCCGTCAGGGAATTCTCATCTTATATACGCATAAGGGCGGGTGTTCCTCAGGGAAGGATACTTGGCCCTTTTCTATTTGCCATATACACTGCAGATATTCCTACACACGTTAACATTTCGACACGCACATTCGCTGATGAAACAGCGATTCTTACGCGCAATTCGGACCCCTCAATTAACACTCAACACTTACAACACCTGAATGAATTAACAATATGGTTCACAAAGTGGAGAATAAAGGTAAACCTAACAAAAAGCACACAGATCAATTTGACCTTACGTAAAAATGTCTGTCCTGCGGTGAGTATAAATGGAATTCCATTGCCTACCACTGACCTTGTGCGTTATCTTGGACTTTTCATGGATAAACGACTGACTTGGAATCCCCCATACAAGACTGAAAAGACAGCAAACAAACCGACGTTATAAATTGTTAAAAAGACTACTCGACTCCTGATCAAAATTAGACCTTGAAAATAAACTTTCAATTTACAAGACAATGATTAGCCCTCTCTGGGCGTACGGTTGTGAGGTGTGGGGCTCAAACAAGGATTCCAATTGCCAGCGTCTCCAACCAATCCAAGCTAAAATTCTCCGTCAAATTATAAATGCTCCTTTCTACATTTCAAATTACACTATCCATAAAGACCTACACATCCCGTTTGTACATGAACTCATCAAAACCCGATATAAAAAATTTCATCACAGTAATCCATTCGTACGAAATTTATCACTTCCAACCCTACCTGAAAATCCTCCAGGACGATTGAAGCGAAAGTGGCCCCGAGACCTTCTCATTGTGTGAAGACTGAACAAGATATTTTAGTTCAGTTTCTATTCGGTTATGTTTGTAAGAATACTTCGGTTCCGTTTTAACCATTCTCCATTCGGGTATTTTTTCCGATACCAAAGAAAGTTCTCGATACCAGTACTTGTGTCGAAAGTGGAGATTCGATACTAAAAATACTCGGTATCGAAAGAAATTATTACATACTTTCCTCATTTCGATGGTATCGGAACGTCACTAGATGGGTAAATAGTTTACCCGGATGCACGGGTTTACGTCAGTTTTATACTATAAATTTTGCTTTTGCATCTTATTTTTAGGCGATTTTTTTTATTATTTTGGTCTAGTTTTTTAATATCATAATTATAGTCATAATATAATAAGTTTTTATAATGCAATTCCAAAAGACGAAAGAAATATTTAGAGAAAAATTAGAGATTTTTTTTACAAAA